ATCATGCGAAATTTAATTTAACTCCATGAATTTCTAAACATAAATAGCGTTTCTATTACTTTTGTTCTTCATACGTTTTATGCGAATATTCATACATTATCAATTATCAGAATAAATTTTAATGTTTTGAGCAATGAAAAATATTACATACATTTGGGGTCTAAAAGTTGTTTTAAATTATAAGCGCAGTTACTTTGCTTCATGAATGTGTAAAATGTGATTCGCGTTAATGGCTTGTAAAAAAATAAATCTTCATTTTGTTTAAAAAATAACAAATATTACAGGTTCATTCCAAGTTTTTCCAACTACCATTAAAAGTTTGCAATTCGGAAAACTAATATACATATAGATTTGTTAAGGGTTAAATATGATTATGTCACCATATCACTTTTTTTAAGCTACACATCAACAAAGAAAATCAACTTGAAGTTTGATATTACAGGCATATATAACCGTTGTTGAACAGCCGACCCAATTTTTGGGTTTACGACTACTAATGTTCAACTCCGTAGCCTTGTAATTTTGAACCCAATCCAGAAGACAAGGGAACTCTTGGATCAAGTATTATGAGAAATTTGCCTTCAGGGAGGACTTAATGATGGAACTGACCCGCATTTGCGTTACATGGAGAGAAAGACCACGAGAACCTCCCACGGTTAGCCTGACGGCATGAGGACTCTACCCCATGATCTGTCTACCACTGAGGATATCTGTCTACCACTGTGGTCGGTGCAAACAGGATGAGGAAATCGTATCTACCAGTCATCGCCGGGATCGAACCCCGGTTCACCTCATTGGAAGGCGCGAACGCTCTATCCCCTGAGCCATCGCGGCTCAAATTAAATGTATAGAGCGGATATATTTTAAATCCAAATTAATTTTAAAAATCATAAAAAAAATAGAATAACAAAAATATTGTCACAATATCCTATTTACGCATACTAATGCTGCACCATTTAAATCGAAAATACTCTACTAAAATAAATAGATCAAAGAATAGTAGTAAAATTTTATACATTTATGTTGACTATTGATTACAAAACTTTAAATCCAATTTACTCGAAACTACGTTTCTCTTCCTTGAAGAATCTCCAACTAGACAATTTTCAACCGATTTATTTCAAATTTTGAAAAACGGAATCAAATTCGGAGGATTTTTTTTTTCACCTCATAGCATAGCTAGTTATGGATAATTTAAAAAATCAGTTATAAAAATAGTATTAAATAAGGGCTAATATTTTAATTTTTTATATTTCAAATATGATGAAACGAAGATTAAAATAAGTAAAATGCGCAAAAAAAAAGAACTACCCGGAATAACTTTTGATCTTCACGTTCTAGTACTCCATCTTAATGTTTCGAGGGGGTGACTTCAAATATGCTAAATATTTAGTGCATACAATATTTTAAGTTACGAAATCAGACATAAAAAGGTATTTTCTCTGAATAAACATACCTTATATTCAACTGATTTGGATTTCTGACCCCCAAAATATAAGGAGTAGCCGCAATCCTAATTGTTTGATCAGGAGAGCGATCCAAAGTTTGGACCCCCTAATGTTATTTTATTTTTAGCTTATTTCACCATAACTTGAGAACTTTTTAAGTGAATTGAAAATTTTCATGCGTAATTATAAAATTCTTTTATCCAAAGATAATTCCATGCAAAAATTAATTTCAGTAAATATTTGTTAATTTTTATTATATTATTTAACAATAGTCGAAGAATTTTGAATTGTAAAGTATACAATTTCTTGCATAATTTTATAGCTTCCAATTTTGCATGGCAAAATATGAAATTTAAGCGAAATTGGTTGAATAGTTCCTGAGAAATAGAGTTTCAAATATACGATTTTCTTAAAATTCGATTTCTCAGGAACAATTCAACAAATTTTGCTCCAATTTTTTATTTCGCTGTATAAAAATAGATACTTAAAAAGGATGCAAAAAATTTTATGTCTTGCAGTTTAAAATTTGTTTGACTATTATTAAATAAAATTATTAAAAATAATTTTAAAAAAAATATTCACTAAAATGTTGCATGGAATTATCTTAGGATAACAGAATTTTGTAATTGTGCGCAAAATTTTCTCTTCCGCTAAAATAATTCTCGAGATATGGAGAAATACGAAAAAAGTAAAATTAATATTAAGGTTTCAAAACTTTGAACCACTCTCCTGGCTAACTAGGGGACTATATTTCCCAGATTGCAGCTACCCCCTATAATTTTGAGGTCATTAATCTGAATCCGTCGAAAAAAAGGTATGTTTATTCAGAGAAAGTACGTTTGTGTAACTGATTTCGTAACTTAAAATATCGTCTGTACTAAATAAATAGCATATCTGAAGTTACAACCATTAAGATTGAGTCCTAGAACGTGATGATCCGATCATTTGATCATAAGTTATTCAGGGTGGCCCGCTTTATTTTTTATTTTATTTTAATTTTATTTATTTATTTGCGTACTGTACCACTAGCTAAAAAATTTATTAAGTTAAGTATGTCTCAATCATTTCAAAATTCGTTAAAAAAAATCCCTCGTTTTCTTAGGCTTTTACTGAGTTGTTACCCCTTAAACGACTTGATGACGAAAAATAAATAAAAACAATATAAATTCCATTTTATTTAAAAGGTTAATAAACTAATTTGATAATGATATTACCTTTTTAATGAGATCATATGCTTCCTGAGCTTTTTTGTACCACCAAATATTTAAAGAGTTTTTTAAGTTATGAGAATAAAAGTATAAAAACTTCCCCTATGTAATGTATAACATGCCAGTAACTTGAAAAGATAGCATAAGTTAGCTTTTGAAATAGCTTTTCGAAAAATACATCAAAGAGCTATCTTTCAAGAGCCTGTTACAGATAATACATTAGAAAAAAGTAATTTCCTTATTTGGATGTCCGTGTTCATTATCATCCTATTGATCGCATTGATAAACCCAATTATTCCGTGAAAAATGATTCATCCTTCATTGTACAGTGCACAAAAAATAATAAATAAATAAACAAATAAAAAACGGACCACCCTCTTTAACTTATGATTCTAATGATCGGATCCTCACGTTGTAGGACTCAATCCTAACGGTTTAAGGAGGTGACCTCAAATATGCTAATTAATAAGTGCAGACTATTTTTTAAGTTACGAAATCAGACACATAAACGTACTTTCTCTGAATAAACATACCTTAATTTTGACGGATTCGGATTTTTGAGAGGGTCGAATTTAGGGTGTAGCCTCAATCTGGGAAAAATGGTCCTAATAGTTTGGTCAAGAGAGCTCTCCGAAATGTGGATTCCTTAATGTAATTTTATTTCTTGTGTATTTCGCTATATCTCGAGAACTTTTTATGCGAAATGAAAACTTTTTGCTCACAATCATGAAATTCTTTTTTCCAAAGATAATTCCATGCAAAAAATAACTTTCAGTAAATATTTATCATTTTTTATTATTTACTTTGATATTAATCGAAAAAATTTTGGATTGTGAGGTACATAATTTTTTACATCATTTTAAAGAATATAATTTCACATGGAAAAATGCCAAAATGTGAGCAAAACGATCTAATAGTTCCTGAGGAATTGAATTTCAAAATAGTCAGAAATTTAAATTTTGATTTCTCAGGAACTATTTGACTGAATTTGTTCAAATTTTGCATTTGCCATGTAAAATTATATTGTTTAAAATGATTAAAAACAATTTTATAACTTGCAAAATTTTAATTTATAAATTTTCAATTGAAAATTTTTCCGGCCATTATTAAATAAAATAATAGAAATTTATAAATATTTACTAAAAGTTATTTTTTGAATTATCTTTGGATAAACGAATTTCATAATTGTGTGCAAAATTTTTTTTAATTCGTTTTAAAAGTTCTCGAGAAATGGCGAAATACACACGAAATACGCAAAAAGTAAAATTAACATTAAGAGGTCAAAACTTTGGAGCGCTCTCTTGACCAAACTATTGGGACCATATTTCAGAGATTGCGGCTACCCTCTATACTTTGGGGGTCAGAAATGTGAATCCGTTAAAAATAAGGTATGTTTATTCAGAGAGAGTACGTTTTTGTGTCTGATTTCGTAACTTAAAATATTGTCTGCACTAATTATTTAGAATATTTGATGCCACCCCCTCGAACCATCAAGATGGAGTTCTAGAACGTGAAGATCCAATCATTAGATCAAAAGTTATTCCGAGTAGTTAAATTTTTTCGCACGCTTTACATATTTTAACCTTCGTTTAATCATATTTGAAATACAAAAATTTTAAATATTAGCGCTTATTTAATATAATTTTTATAACATATTTTTTTAATTATCCATAACATGCTGTGCTTATAAAGACGAAAAAAAAAATCATCCGAATTTGATTCCGTTTTAATTTTTTGAAACCACATGCACGTTGTTTTCGTTACATGTAGGATTTTTAAAGTATAATTTTTTTTGCAAAATGGTGTTTTCTTTTTCTTTTCTTTTATGCATTGTACATTATATTTAGACTGATTTTTAAATTATGCGTATAAAATGTTGTAAATTTAATATGTTTGGTTCTTTTTTAATGTAAATTGCTTCTTATACATTTTTAAATACGTTTTATTGTTAGAAGTTTAATTTTATGTTATTTTAAATAAGAAATAAAATATTAAATTCAATTTTAAAATTTTGATAATGTTTTTGGTGGATTTCAAAGGCGTCCAAGTATTATCTTTGAATTGATTTCAATGAACTAAATTAGTAAAAAATTATTCCAAAATGCGGAAAAAAAGGTCGCTTATCATTTTTGCTTGACTCCAAAACTATATGTCCAATGGAATAGAATTTTATACACATAAGGTTAACGTTCAAGTTAGCAGGAAAAAAATTGTGTGCTCTGATTTCTTCTTTTTATCTACACTGATAAATTTCATCGATTTTGCATTGCTACAATCCTAAAACTTTCTGGATACTTACATTAAATGGCATTTCTCGTCGCCAACAATTTGAATCCAAACTTACCTCTCTTGTCAGTAGAAAACTTGGAGTTTATCTTAGAAAATAGTTGACAGTGCAAGCCTGCAAAAAATGAGTTTATTGAGTTTTTAAAAGTTACCTTGAGGCTAATCGCCAAGCATAGTTAAACATAACTAATCATTATTTGACACTTAAAGACAGAATTTGCTTTGGTGTTGTATAGTACTACGTCATTTATTAAATCGACACTTGGCATTAAAAAAAATTTTGCTTTTGAAGGGTGCTTTTGAAAAGTTCCTCATATTTATCTGAACATTTACATTAACTTTCGAATAAAAGACTTGAATTTTTTTTTAATGCAGCACTATCAACTTGGTTTCTAGAATCAAAATAGTTTAAATTATATGATTAGTTTTTTTAATTAATAAATTCTTTCAATGCAAATTTTTATTAAATAATCATTAAAAGTCAATTTTATTAACGTAGTACTTCTCCTGATGGAAGGTTCTAAATATGCATCAACTTTATAATTGTTAATAGATATCAAGTGTTTGGTCAACAATGAAAGTTTTTTAATTTTTAGTTAATCTTTAAAATAAAATTTTTTTGACAAAAAATTCTTTGGCTTGCTTTATTAGTTGTTAAATAATTTACCTGAATTCAACAAATATTTTAATATAATTGCATGAATACTTGTTTCTTAAAATTGAACACAGTTCTTTTTTATTTATTTATTAGTTTTTAAGTTCTGTGATGTTTTGTATTAGGCCTCAGAATGTTTAAGACACTTTCTCACATTTTCTCACAAAAAAAACAACATCTATCCAGATTCAATCTTTTTAGTAATTTTACTACATTATTATAAAAATAAGAGAATCGAAAATATTAATAAAAAAATATGATTTTGTCATTAAATGGTTGAAAACAACATCGAGGAGAAATTCATTTATTTACAGAAATAGACTGAAGTGTTTTCAGAAAATATGTAGAAAAATAATAAGGTAACCCTTATTTTATGATGATTCTGAACTACGCCTACTACCTAGAATTCATTCAGTTGATTGGCTAATAGTAAATATCACATGTTTTCCGGTAAACTAAATGTTTGTAAACTGAGCTGATTACTGTGCAATTTTAGTTAGTAGAGTAATAATGCGCATGTGCCATTCTTTGGAAATGAAACCATCAATGGTGAATATTTACTAAAATCAACGCATGTTTACAAAGAAGATATTATCAATCATTTGCATTAAATTACTTGATGCGGTAAGTAAAATAAAGTTTCTAAATATGTCTTGTAAGAAAAATACATAAAAAACAGATATACTTGTATGTAAAGAAGGAAGGATGCATATTTTAGTTATTTGATTTAAGTTAAGGTATATTACTTGGCAGACCTGCATCGGTAAGTATAAATTTTTAATTTGATTTGAATTTTATTAGTGGCAATAGTTAAACATAAACAATCAGCATCATTTCTATTTAATAACGAGCTGAATATTTGGAGCGAAGTAAGTCGTTTAACTTAATTTGTTTATATAATACTTTTACTTTTGCTTAGAAATATTATAGGTAGGTTAATATTTGCATAAACAGTGAACGGTAACTTTATATAAATTTTATTTTTCATCTTGTTAGTAATCATAGTCTTATGGATACAAATTTTTCATAAAATAAAATGCATTCAAGCAAAATATATTTCTGAAGTAAAATATATTTGGAAACAAAATATATTTTAAAAGCAAAAATTATATCTAAAGACGATATCACACAATACAAGAAAACTGCGTACTCAACTTTTTAAATAACGACATGAAGAAACTGTCATTAAAACACAAAAAGGAATTAATTTTTGCTGTTAATTTTACTCTGACATATATAGTTTTATAATTCCTTTGATATTCTCACAATTGTCAATTAATTTACTTGCTATATTTGCTCAATATGCCTCAATTTGATAATATTTATATGCCTATATTTGAACAAAAAAGTAACAGGACAGGAGCAAATTTTTGAAAGGACTTATAAATGTTAATTTCTTTTACTTCTTTTGACTTAGATATCCATAACTGATATCCCATTGTGTGAGACAGCATATTTGGACAATTCTGAAACTTAATTGCATATAATTTAGAATATATAAAACCATTTTCTTGGGTACTTAGCAGCAGTTTTGCACATTTCCTGGATCAGAATGACCTAAAATTTTTTACTTTAGACTCTTATGAGTTTCCAGTGTTTCCCTTCTTAGTTCTTGCTCTTTAGTTTTTCCTAATTCCAGTCTTATACACTGAAGTATTATATTGTGGAAATGAACTGTTGCACATTAAAGTTAAAATTAAGAACACATTTTTCTTTGATATATTTAGTTATTGTAATTCTTTTTAATTACTTAAAACATTTTGATACACTTAGACACAAGAATTTCTAAAGTTTCCTTTCTTAATTTTTGCTCATTAGTTTTACAAAACTCCAGTCTAGTGCACTGAAGTATTGTATTGCAGTAATAAACAGTTTCATATCAAAGTTAAAATTAAGAACAAATTTTACTTTGATATGTTTAGTTATTGTAGCTCCTTTGATACACTTCAGACATTTTTACAATTTTTATAGATATTATTTATAGTTTAAAGCTAAACAAAGTATGAAGTCATTAAAAATTTCTAATGACTTTTAAATAATCAAATTGTTTTTACCTGATTTGACTTCGATGTCCCTTATCATCTCATAGTCTGAAATAGCTTTTTTTTAAAAAGTATTCTGTACTTTGATTGAATATTGAAAATGTAATTACACTTGTTTTGGTACTTTGTAGGATTTTAGAAGACTTCCTGTACATGTAAAATGTGCACCAGACAACTTTTAATCACTTCACAAAGTTTCCTTTCCAGTTATTGTTTTGTATTATAGTTTTAAATCTCCATTTTAATGTACTGGGCCATAATTTGTTAAAAATGAACTGTTCACGAAAGTAATGGAAGTGTCTTGTTACAATGAAATATGTCTTGTAATGTAATGAAAGATGTGTTGCTACAGTTTACCAAAATATATATATTCAAATCCATCACTGATATTACTCAGCCCTGTATCAGGTACCTTAATTAGTTCTAAGAAAAAAAAGCGCTGTAAGGATATTATTACAGAGATAAGAAACCACTGAATACCTTAATATTCTTAAGTCTGGAAATAAATTATTCGCAAAGCAAATCAATACTGCTCATTAACAATACCTTTTTTGGTTAATTAACAGTGGTAAACTCAATCAGAAAAGTATTATTTAGCTAATTAACAGTTGTAAACTTAGTCAAATTCTTACTTATGTTCTTCTAGAAAGTTATGAAAATTTGTCTGAGCTCATTTGGAAGATAAGGTAACTTTTTTCTGGTTCTTTTTTGTAATGTTTTTGATTATCTTTTGTGCATTAATTCTTTTACAACTTATTTTAACTTAATGATATTTGGAGGAACAATGAAGCTCTAAAATTTGAAAATTAAATTTTTTAATATTTTGCACAGTTTGCAACCTGTACTCATATTTTGCATATGTACATAGATTGCAAGAAATATTTTTTGTGCCAACTATATATATAAGATATGTTTCTCATGCCAAGTTTCATAAGAGATATTGGAAGTTAAGTGAGATATTAATTAATACATTTGTATAACTAAACTCTATTGTTAGATTACAATTTTTAAAAAGAAAATTCAAATTTAAAAATTTTTTGTCACAAATAACTACTAGAACAAATATTACATAATATGATTTTATAACCATTTTTTTGTAATGCAAATTATTTAATTATAAGAGCATTTTGTGTCGCTTTTATAAAAAAAAAATTTCTTCCTTTTTATCCATCTAAACACATAATGTTGAAAGTATTTCAAATAGCACTTCTTATAAACCTTATTTTTGACCAAATGCTTTTAAAAAAATATTAATTATATTTTAAAAATTATAGCTTAAAAAACACTTTTTTTCTAAGTAGACATATTTAAAAATATATTTTGATAAATTCTTTTTATATACTTTTAAAACTTGGCACATTAAGTAACTTTTTTATGCCTGTAAAATTAGATTTATATCACCAGAAATATGCAAAATAATTTTGAAGCCCCACTGTTCTCTCAAAAGAAATTATTTTATTTTTTCCTTTAACTATAGAAACTTTAATAATTTTCATACAACGTAATTTTATACTTTTATTTAATAATGTTCTTGAATATTTTGCATTCATTTAAGAACTGAAAAGTTTATGTAACTATACATTCATAAAACTGAACTCTCTTACGCAGGGAAAGTTAGTGGGGGTGGTTTTATTACAAAAGTTTGAAGAATGTTGAATAACTTTGTTTAAGGTAGATTTAGAGTGTGCCACCTTTTCTTGATAAACATTAAAAAAAATACTGAATTTTGAATTATGTTTAAGAAGACTAAATTAAAAGTTGAATTGCATGTGGAATGTATATGGAAATAACTGTTATAAAATTAACTTGAATACATAAAGTGAAGCTATGTGTCATAAAACCAATCTATATTTTATAAAATGAAATAATTTCAATGAAATCTAAATACTTTCAATTCCAATGTTAATCTGACAACATTTTTTTTAATTAGAAATTAAATATAAGCCAAAAAATATAGAAAAAGTTTTCGAAGAATATATTTATCCTTTACACTTTTTTACTTAAAGAAATAACTGCTATAAAATAGACATCCAAGTATCAGTTGATCATTATTTTATGAAGCCAATAACTGAAACTTAAAATTTTTAATTTCAATTTTGTTATTGGAAGCATTTTTATTTATTGCAAACATGATATAAAATAATTAAATATGACATAAAAGTTCAGTTAAATAATTTTTATCAAATACATTTTTTTCTGTATTGGAATAATTGTTATGAAATATGACTTTCATGCATCTAAAGATTAAATGTTTTATAAAATCAATAATTGAAATTTCACATTTTCAATTCTAATGTTTCTTTAACAGCAAAACAGTTTTCGTTTTGGAAACACGATGTAGTGTAAACAAATGGCATAAAAGTTTACAAAAATACGTTTATCATTCACACTTTTTTTAATACGGGAATAACTGTTATA